CTCTTCAACAATTCAGAAGGATATAAAAAAAGAATGCTGTTAGAAAATATATGTATTAGTCCAGAAAATGTAGTGGAACCAACTTCTGTAATGCAAAAGCAACAACGATGGAAATCTCTGAAACTGCTAAATCATCTCCAGAATGCTTAATTTTTCTCCTTTTCTTGTTGGAGGAACCTATTATAATTTCAAAACAAAAGCATCAATAAGAGCCAATAGTGATAAATTATTCAGTTGCCAACTTAATATATATATATCATATGCCAATTGTTGCAACTTGTACGTAATTATTCGGTTACAAGTTTGTACTTCGTATCAAATGAAAAAATAGTTCATAACGAATGTCAACTGCTTGTCCTGGCATGCGAGTAATTCTTACATCATTTTTGTTGTTAAACAACTGTGTCTAGTTAGAAAAAGATGACATGAAGAAAAATAGTTCCAATATGTCTAGGGCTGTCCATGGGTCGGTTCGGTTCGGTTCTGAAGATACCCGAACCGACCCAAAACTTTCGGGTATTTAATAAATGGACCCGTCGGGTCCAAATATAATTATGGAACCGTTCGGGTNTGAAGAAAAATAGTTCCAATATGTCCTCAAATTCAGCTGTGTCCAAGAACATGTGGTGATTAATATTGCTTAGGGTCAAGAAAAGGCTGTGAAGAATCCGAAGATGTTAACGAATTCCCCAGAAATTCTGACAGTAAAAATAAAGCAAAAGTGAAGAGCTTTCAAGAAATTACTAGCAAGGGTAAGAAATGTACCAAGTTTAGGGGGAGGAGCACTCTGTCTTCCCCAGCTCAGCACTCAACATATGGTGGAGAAGCATATCAACTCTCTGACTCCTCGTCTTCGTGCTGCAAAATTTGAGGGGAAAAAATGAAAATGTTGATTCAGATCACGTTTCATTTTAAATTCGTATTGGGAAAGTTTTCGAGAAGTATCAAGTCAGTCACACATACCCCACGTTACGTCGTCGTTGCTCCTTTTGACTTTCATCCTGGATTGTGAAGGAATACAGGTTTATTTAGTGGTGCATACATATCAATACAAAAGCATGAACAAATGGCTGTAAGGTAAATCATATATACGAATCCATGAACTATGACAACAAGCCCTTATGTCCAAGTAACAGCAACCCAAAGCTCAATCAAGTTCAAAAGTTTGTTTACTCAACCAACCCCATAATTCAAAATAGGGATGCTAACACTATGTGGAAAATCATCAAAAATGAATATGATTGCATGACACGACATTGTACAGACATGAAACATTACTGGAAACGGGAGTCATTCTTTTCCATGGGGAACTTGATGATGATAAATCAACTGTGCCAACCGTTATTTTACCATATGTAAGTACTCGCGCAGAATATTATGTCTGAATCTTGACAAGAATCTTGAAGAGGTGAACAGTTAGGGTGAATTTTCTTTTGAGACGATAAAGGGATATGATTTAATTTTAACAGACTTGCAGTAGTGCCCCCTTTCAATCAAAGTACAAAGTTTTTTAATAAGCTTTGATATTTCAGAGTCCATGGAGCTGTTTGGCTGAGTTAGTTTGGCCTGTATCAGGATAAGTAGTCCACTCAGTTTAGGAGTACAATTTCTTTATCCAGTTGAGGTCCATTAAATTGTTTCTATAGTGTTTTATCCTTTGAACTTATATTTTTGGACATGCCTTATCATGTCTGATATGGGTTGAGGATTGGAATCAAGGTTATGAAGCTATATCATAGAGCCCTTCCATTTTCCACTTTCGAGAAATCTTTAATCTAAACTATTACCCGTATCTTTGATCACAACAGAAACTTGCTAAAGTTCTTTACTAACCTTGCCAATCGCATCTTCACATTTCTCAGAAGTTTCAAGATCCATTTCAGCAAAAAAAGCCTCCAATACAAAAGCCACAACCTGAAATGATATTTCAAAAAGATTATAAGTTTTTTTTACAATATTGACAGAATGGAATACAGTAAAACAAGATGGATAGAATGAAGTTCAATAACAAAACTCCCGAACGGGATGACAAACAAAGCACTTCAAGATAATAAAGAGGTGGTAGTGAATTTGAATCTCATGTATCTCAGTTTAAGTCTCTTGATTTTAGATTTACTATTTGTGTCCACATTCTGACAAAGAAATCTTAACCGAGTTATGATAACCACTTGAGATAACAGAAGAAGAAAATCTCCTCTGCCTGTTCCTTCTTTTCTATGAGGGGGAAAATTCGAGTGATTCCTTCAAAAAGATATAAAGAAACAATTTCCCTTCTCATTGTTTTCATTATTGAACATATTATCATGCAGATATGTCTAAAATGAAAATTCTATCTATTTACGTTGTTAATCATTCTAAACTAAAGAAAAATCATTTTTATACTTTTAACTCAGTTAAGTTTGTGTTTTGCTAAGATTAAAAGGAATAAATATATTTTTATTGGTCAAAGTTAGAAATAAGCTAGTAGCTTATTTTGAAAGTAACCCACACATTATTGTCAAAAAAATTATTATTTTTACTCAAGTAAGAAAAGAATACCCTTCACAAATGTGTTTGAAAACAAAAATTACTTAAAAGTTTTACTTAGTTTTAAGCTTAGACAAACATGCTTGACCTCGATAAAGAAATTATCTGAAACTGGTGTACATGACTAAATAACAAAATCCTTGTCGCCAGCTGTAAAATGAATCTCGAACTTCTTTGCTAGTCCTGTAATTTGTTTAGTCCAAGTTACAATCCAGGAATGATGCTTATAATCATTGGTCTTTTTTACTCTATTTCCACCCGGTTATATAATCACATTAGCTAAAGTCCAAATCATTTACAGGAGAGTGCAATTGAGAACAAATTGATGCATAAAAGTATATATAGATGTGTAAGCAAATAAATTGTTTTCCAAAAAGTTCAAGATTATATATGCAGTGCGAAGAGTTCTTCCCAAATATTTTCAAGATATATATATATATATATCTGTGCTATTCCAAACATACATACAGGTTCTTTAGAATTTGTTTGAGTTTTAATATAAGAAACGCAAGCACACAGACTCGTCATGGATACTAAGAATTTCAATTGACAGAGGACATAGAAAATGACTCTAGAAACTAGCTACAACTTACCAAATTCAGTAGTAGTACGATCGTAATAAGATAGAAGCTGATGAAATATGCATAAGACCATGCAGTTCCAGTCAAATCCTTGTAGCTCTGAAATTTCAACCATCATTTATTACATTCACATAATGGAACAAGCATTCCAAAATGACAGAATAAGGCATTACTGCTGCTGCTATTCTGTAAATTGTAGATGTCCATTAACAGGAACATTATGTATAATTTTCAGGTGCAATGCCCAGTAAAAAGAGGATATGAACTCTCGATGGTTTAGGCATATACACATGTATATAAATAAAATTTATTCCAAATTAAACATATGCTCCTGAAAATATCATCCAATTCAAAAGAGACACACTGTGATATGTACAATAAAAATGAAGAGAAGAAAAAAGGTACAAAATTATCTTCTAATATAGTAGCACACGCATCTCTATTCATAAATAATATCTGTAGGTTGATATATGCTCGGCATTGAGCCTAGATTAGAATTGTTACTATTCTTCTTTTCTGAACATCCTGTTTTTCTTCGATATAGGTTTACAATTCCTGTAAGACTGCTGGTTATTTGAGGGCAGAAATGCTAAAATTTAAGAGACCATTGGTTAGCTAGCATGATGTACAATACATAAGGTGAAGTGAAAAGGGAATTATTTAGAATATACATGTATTCTTTATCACGTCTTTATCTCATTGGTCTTCTAAGCATCTGAGACGTTTATAAAGCTTGGTCCATTAGCTGACCAATATTGATCTCATGAATTTTAATTATGTTGCGCAGGTAATAATATTCAGTTGATACTAAGGCCGCATGATTCTCATTATTGTAGAATGAAAATGAAAAATATAGTCGTTATTGGCCCTACACAAGAGATAGAAATTCAAAATTGATAGTTTGATGTGATGGATAACGGTCATGTTTTTCATTTTTATGAATGAAAAAAGAGAAACAAACGGGGGCTAAGAGTATGTTTGATAAGTGTTTATAAATAGTTTAAATTATAAATATTTAAAAATGAGTGGTGGATAAGGGGTATTTCTTGTGGGTCACACGAAATGCGTAGATAGAAAGTAGCTTGAGTATTTATAAACACAAGCCAAACATATCCTAAATTGGCCTATCCCTGGATATGACCCAATTTCATTAACCTCGCTGCTAGTTAACAGCCAGGTCTTCCCCAAAGACGCACTACATTATTTGTTCATAACAAAAAATTTTAAGCCCATAATAATTGCAGTACCTAATAGAAAAGAAACTTGATTCCGCATTTCCACTCAAATGAAAAATACTGAAAAGAAGACAGTGACCAATAAACTTAAATCATTGCTGTGGTGCACAGATAATTCTGTCACGGAAGATGCTGAAAATCATGATTTATGTGCAATACCTGCATCCACACTTGCCAGTTCCCCATTACTAGTAGATTGAAAAGTGTTACCATCCCATTTGGGTAGTCATTGAAATTGAAGAGTAAGTAGCTTAAATTTGTCAAGAAACAAGAGCCAGGAAATTGATAACCAATGGATAAATAGCCTCTCAACAAGAAACAATAAGTGATTTTCACAGCAATTTGTACAGGTAGACGTAACGATGGATTTATTTGAGTAGTACAATCCAAAATTTATTATGATTGTGTTAGTTTCTATTTGTTTTTTTGTTATTGGTTGAAATTTTGTAGTGGTAAAAATGTAGATGCTTGAAAAGAAACATGTATACTAGTCAAATTGAGATAGGCATAACCTTGAGATGGATTGGAATATGATGATAAATCAGTAAAAGTTTGATATAAAATCTAACAGAGCTTCATTCATGACGAAGGATACTCGTTATCATTGAGATCGGTGCCTTCAAGATTTGGATTTCCAGTATTGACAATCCCCCCAAAGATCTGCAAATTGAAGAATAAAAGAAACACTTCACAAACTTTAAGAAATCAAGAAAATGAAAAATGAAAAAATATTCAAATTTTTATAAGCAGATCATGTCTTATTAAGCAGCAACAATTTGCAGATTGACAAAATCTGTCTACCACGTGGAAGTGAAATCAAGGACATTTATTGAAGTGGTGAAGTACCTCAAGTAACATCTATCTAAAGTGGAACTTAAAAAAAGATTCAAAATACAATATAAGAGGTACCTGTACACCAAGAGAGCAATAAATGCACATGACACAGAATATGATCCCCAGATATGGCATTAGACTTGGTATTAGAGTAAAAAATGTTGCAACAAAGGCCCGGTAACGCTGAACATGCAACAATAGCCTAATCAATCTTAACATTCTTGCTATAAGAAGATACCGAATCCTGCAGACAAAAGTGGCTCATTACCTTTCACAGTGATGTAACATAACCTCCAATGATAAGTAAATTCACGATATAATCTTAGTAAAACAGAAAGGAACAAAAAAAAACTAAAGATCTTTTAAGATATTTTTTGATTCGTTAGGAAATTGTAGGAAAAAAAAAAGAAACAAGAAAGATATACAATGCTAAAGATTGGCAAATCTGTGTTAATTCAGATTATCAAATTTAACAAATATATTTTCTTTATATTCTTTTTCCACAGAGGAGAGTAGAAAAACATTGTCAATATGAAAGTTCTAATCACATGCACAAGCTTATCCTCACCATTCACCATTGGAAAGAAAAGTCAGGCCATGCGGAGACACGAAAGTTGCTGTTTCTCCAATAACTGCGAAAAAAAGGAAAGACAAACAAACCAAATCATAAACTCAACCAGGCCATTCCATATAAAGAAAAAGAGAAAGAAGACTGGAAGAAAGGAAAAGGTGCATTCTGTAAAGAAAGATCCGACAAATGACAGCATAATGTTAATCAATTAGTTGAATAATGTATCAATCTGAATGTAGAGAACTTCTCTAAATTCCTAGATAGAGGTTAACTGGTTCCTGCCAGTAATTCTACCCTCATTTTGATGAATAAGGGAAAGAAAGAAAGAAAAAATCTATGTGGACAGATTCAATAATTAGTTCCCAACCATCAGGTGGAATCTGATTAATAATCTGTTAATAAAAGAGTCACAAAACTTTCAACGGTCTCTTAAGTTACATATGAACTCCTGGGCTTAAATTGATAGAAGTACACAAATTGAAGAAATTAATTATTACATTGTATGACCAAGGCATTTTGATATGCCAACTATATTGTCAAACACAATTGTTACAAATTGAAGAAATATATAAATGATATATATGTGGCCTATCTAATAGCTTGAGCTTTTAGATCAACTAGCATGGTGAAGATTTTGAGTTCAAATCTCGCTACCACCCATTCAATGAAATTATGCATGATCAGGCTTGCTATGATGGGAAAAAATAAACTCCCTCTAAATGTAAAGGGGCATGTTGAACACAACATTTAAATTATATATATGTGGATCTATCTAATAACTTAATCTTTTACATCAAGTGGTTCAACAATTAATGTAGTATCAGAGACGAACAAAAAAGACGTAGCTTCAAGTCTCATTGCCACTCATATATTAAAACTTGTCGCATGTTAGACTTTGACGTGAAAAATGAACCTGGCTTACACGTGTTAGAAGGGGCGTTGAAAATGAGATTTAAATAAAAATATGGGACTCATCTCTAATAGCTCAAGCTTTTAGATGTGATGGTTAACACCATGTATTCTTCCGTACAAATATCCAAAGAAACTAAACTTAGAATAACTTTCCTAATTTATGTTTTTTAACCTGCAAGCATTTTGGTGGTTTCTTGCCTTTTTACTGTTACCTCATTATAATCTTCCATAAAACTTTCATCAAAGAATTCCAATATAATCAGAAAATAACTGACACTATAGTAGCAATTTTTTCCTCAAATGGTTGGTCCACTTAGTTGAAGAAAACAGATATCCAACGGAGGATAGAGCCTTTTAGTTTTGGACATATACCTTAGTGATTCACAGTTGATTAAAATGGAAAATTTCCCCCAACATAACGCCTATACAACTTTTTTTGTTCAAAAGCAAGATCTATATGACTTAAAAACAACAATAAAATACTAAATCAGTACGGTCAGGCATTTCAATAAGCTATTACATGTTAAATTATAGTTGTAAGGCATACTACAGAGAAGAGAATTGGAATTCAACTATTGATGGCACTTACCTATTATCCAGGTGATTATAAAGTCAAAGCGATTTTGACCATCTCTCCAATAGTTCTCAAATCCATAAGCATAGACCTTTAAAGCCATCTCCACTACATATAGCCATCCTGTGAAGAAAATGCAATTTATTGATCTCCCAATGCAAGCAAAAATTACAGTTGTTCCAGATTATAAGCTTTTTCACATAGGATATTAGTTTAACAGAAATGAAGTTTTTTGACCGACTTCGAATGGAACTCATCCAGATACCTAAACTAAATTCCGATTTCTATTTAAGCACTACAAAAACCTAACATATTTTCTTCATTATTCAAGTCGAGAAGAAAAGCAAAAAAAGTGTGAAACAGTATTGAAAGTGAAGTTGAAATCACAATAATTGTTCTATATTTCTTGATAATAATCACAACCCTACTACAACCAATTTATACTGTACATGATGAATAGAAAAAGGAAAAACAATATGCTAAGTTAAGAAATAAATCATCCTACAAATTATTCTAAAATCACAATCTCCAATTAACTATCAATTACAATATTTCAATTCTCAAATTTCTTTCCATTCTCGGTTTTCTATACTCCCCTTCAAGTTGAATTGTAGATATTGATCGTGTTCAACTTGCGACTGAAGTCATCGAAGTTTTGTCTAGCCAATCCTTTGGTGAAGATATCTGCAGCTTGCTCCTTTGTAGGGACATATGTCATACAAACAGTTCCATCTTCCACATTTTCTTGATAAAAGGTCGGTCATCTTCTACATGTTTGGTTCTATCTTGTTGCATTGGATTGAGAGAAATGTTGATAGCTATTGTTATCACAATAGAGTTTGATTGGAAACTCTACCTGAACTTTTAGTTCTTCCAAGAGTTTCTTTATCCATAATCATTCACATATCTTTTGTGCAATCGCTCTAAATTCAACTTCAACATTGCTTCTAGCCACTACATTCTGTTTCTTGCTTTTTCAAGTTAGCAAATTTTCCCACACAAAGGTATAGTAGCCAGAAGTAGATCTTCTATCATCTGTTGATCCAGCCCAATCTGCATCCATGAATATCTGTACTCCCATTTTTTTATTCTTTTCAAAGAATAATCCTTTTCCAGAGATGGCTTTTAGATATACGAGGATTCTAAATACTACTTTGAGGTGAGCCTCTTTAGGAGAGTGCACATGTTGACTTACCACGCTGACTACGAAAGCAATATCAGGTCTACTATGTGAGAGACAGATTAACTTGCCAACTAGTCTGGTATCTATCAATTTCCACTGAATTTCCTACGTCCTTTGATATGTAACCTGTCTCAACAGGGGTGTTACTTTGTTTGCATCCCAACATGCCAGTTTCCATCAAAAGGTCAAGAATGTATTTCCGTTGAGAAACACTAATATCCTTTTTCGATCTTGCAACTTCCATCCCAAAAAATACCGTATTTGTCCTAGATCATTTACTTCAAATTTGGTGGCTAAACATCTCTTTAGTCTTTCCATCTCAACTACGTTGTCCCCGGTTAGGATTATATCATCGACATATACGATTAGGATTGTCTTTGTCCCATCTTTAGATTGTTGGAAGAAAAAGGTATGATTTGACTGCCCTTGCCAACATCCTTGAATTTTCAATACTTTTCCAAATCTATCGAACCACGCTCTCAGTGACTGTTTGAAGCCAAATAAAGATTTCTCGAATTTAAATACTTGATCTTTTTCATTCTTTTTGTTGAGTTAGGTGGTATTGTCATGAAAACTTTTTATTCTAGTTCTCCATTCAGGAATGCATTCTTAATGTCTAACTGTGGAAGGGCCAGTATAGATTAATTGCTAATGACAAGAGAACCTGAATTGTATTTAGTTTTGCCAACAGTGCGAATGTTTCTGTGTTGTCTATACCATTTGTTTGTTTATACCCTTTGGCAGCTAGACGAGCTTTGTAACGTTCTATTGTCCTGTCAGCTTTGTACTTCACATTGAATACCCATTTGCAGCCTAAAGGTCTCTTCCCTTTCGATAGATTTACCACTTCCCAAGTTTCATTTTTCTTTAAGGCTCTCATTTCTTCCATTACTGCCTCTCTTCATTTGGGTGATTCTAAAGCCTCCTGAATATTTCTTGGGATTTTTGTCTCGTCAAGGTTAGCAGTAAAAGTATGAAACTCTGTAGATAATGTATTATAAGATATCAATTTTGAAATAGTATGGAGTGTACATGACCAAATTTGTTTTCTGAGAGCAATGGGTAGATATGGAGATTTAGATTTGTTGGAAGGGCTCTCATTGGATCCTACCATCGGTTCCAACTCTTTTGGTGCCTTAAGTGTGAGATTTTCCTTATATTCTGATTTAAGCTTTCTTGAGTAAATCAATATCTCATTGTCCTGATGTTTTCCAACATCTCTCCCTGAATTCAAGTTTTCTTTTGTATATGGCACATTAGAAGGTAGGGTGACGAGTTCTATATATGTTAGGTCAAAAGGAGAAAGATCAAAGTATAAGAATTCTCGATCCAAGAACCGATCTTCACTCAAATTCTCTCCCTGAAGGGAAGGTTTTTGGAAGTAGGGTGTCGTTTCGAAGAAGGTGACATCTAGGCTAAGAAAATCTTTTTTGTGGAAGGATCATAGCATTTGTAGCCTTTTTGAGTAGGAGAATACCCAATGAACACACTTGATTGCATGTGGTTCTAGTTTGTTTCGCTGATAGGAGTGAATGTGTACAAAAGTAGTAATTCCAAACACCTTTAGGGGTAGATTTGAACTAAGGATAGAGGTAGGAAGTAATTTTGTAATCTTTGTAGAGGTGAGTCGAAGTAGAGATTATGACTTGGCATTCGGTTGATAAGATATGTGGATGTTAGAATGATATCTCCCCAGAATATTTTTGGCATGTTTGTAGTAAACATTAAGGTACGAGCAATTTCAAGTAGGTGTCCATTTTGTTGGGAAGTGTTGACACGTGAACTTTGTTGGACCATCACATGTTTTTTTAGATAGTCTTGTAAAGTGGTATTAAAGTATTATATGTCATTATCAGTTCACTGAATTTGAAGCTGTGTTTGAAATTGAGTTTGAATCATAGAGTGAAAATATATAAATATTGAGCGAACCTCAGTTTTTTCCTTTAGAAGATAGACCCAACATACTTGAGTGTGGTCGTCGATAAATGTGACTAACCATTTTGTGTAGGTACGATTAGGATTACGGGAAGGTCCCCATAAATCACTGTGAATCATGGCGAATGGCTTAGATGGTTTGTCCGTGGAATTTGAAAAAGATGTACGCTGATGTTTTGGTAGTTCACAACTTTCACATTGAAACTCAATATATGTTTTATTTAAGAAAATGGATGGAAGTTTACGTTTCAAGTATTCAAAGTCAGGATGACCCATTCTATAGTGCAATGACAAAATTTCACTATTCTTAGAGAAAGATGCAGAATTACAACTTATAAGTTGATCTAGTTTACTCACATCAGTTTTTTCGAAGTAGTACAATCCATCACAATCTTTAGCATTGTCAATCATCTTCCCCGATGAAAGATCATGAAAGACACAATATGATGGAAAAACTTAGCACAACAATTGGAGTTCTTTGTTAGCTGACTATTAGATAACAAGTTACAGAACAAATTTGGGATGTGGAGGGCAGATACTAGTGTTATGGATTCAGAGATTTGAATACTTCCTTTTCCTGCAACAGAGAAGAGTGAGTCTATCTGTGATTTTACCTTAATGTTTCTGGCACAGGTTGTGTACGAAGAGGATAAATGATATGAGTCCGTCATGTGATCAAACGCACAAGAATCAATAATCCAAGAGGTTTTATATTTTAAGGTGTTTAAAACTCTCAGAAAGTTACCTTTGTAGGTTAATGAATCAGAATGACCTTTGGGGCGAAGGTTGACAAGATGTCTGAAGACTAGAAAACATTTGATAAAGTTGTTCCAACTGTTTGGAGTTGAATGCACCGCTTGAAATTGAATTATTTTTTATCTCAGCTTGGTATCCCCTGCTCCTAATGTTTTGTCTTGGTTTCCAGCGTGAATTTCCCAACACGTGTCTTCTTTATGCCACATCCTACGACAATGTTCACACTAAGGTCGATCCCGTTGTTTTTGGGTTAATCATGTTGTTGGTCCTTTTGATGATAGTCCCAATCCTCCATTTCCAATTGAAGATCCAAAATTTAATCCAATTTCTGGCCCAACATTTGCTAGCCCATTTCCTTTAGAGAATCTGGTTCCTAGTCTATAGCTTCCTGACCCAGGCCCATTTGTTTTAAAATATTGAGGCCCATTACCTCTCACAGACAAGGCCAACGTTTCATTTGAGGATCCAGAGTTCTCCTTTAACATCACTTGTCGTCAGTCTCCTCCCGTCGCACCTCTGAGAACACCTAGTGAGTGTGAAGTAGCGGATGCCGGCCGAGGATCCTTCCTCTAACATCGTCTAACTCGCGATTTAGCCCTACAAGGAACTTATACACTCTTTTGTTTTCCTGCTTCTTGTACAGGATACTATCATTAGGACACTTCCATTTTTCCTCGACGCTTAGGTCAAGTTCCTACCAGAGACCCACCGTTTCCATGCAATACATTGTAGCATCTCTCGATCCCTGCCTTGTCTACCATAACCAAGATTTAATTTCAAAGATATAGGATGAATTTTCAGAGTCGAAGTAAGTTTCCTTCACAGAATCTAGACGTCTTTTGCAGTTGGAAGGAAGAGATAAGTCTTCCTATGGATGACTTCATAGAATTCACTAGCCAAGCTATCACCATGGAGTTTTTGGACTTCCATTTTTGCAAAAGATTAGCATTGGTTGGCCTCTTTGTTTCGCCAGTAAGGTAACCTAGCTTCCCCTTTCCGTCGATCACTAATTTTATGGATTTGGCCCATTCTCGAAAATTTCTTCCATTCAGTTTCTCTACTATGAGTTGGAAGGAGGAATTTTCGAGTCCATTGGATCCAATTGAAGGATTGACCTCTGCTTCAAACTGAGAAGTCTCAGAGGTTGTCGATTCACTATTGTTGGCAGGGAGTTCCGCTATTTGTTTCCTAGGTTAGAAACACCTAGGCTCTAATACCATGAAGTTGAAATCAGAATAATTATTATGTACTTCTTGATAATAATCACAACCCCGTTACAACCTATTTATACTATACAGGATAAATAAAAAAAGGAAAAAAAAAATGCCAAGTTAAGAAATAAATCATCCTACAAATTATTCTAAAACCACTATCTCCAATTAACTATCAATTACGATATTTCCAGTTTCAAATTTCTTTCCATTTTTGGTTTTCTACAGAAACATTTATGCCACTCTTACTACTGCTGCTTGATCTACATGGATAATTTGAGGTTCAATCATACTCTAGTATCCAATGATGAATTTGATGCCTCATAAGATCCAAGACTCAGAGATCTTACCAAACACAAATTCCACCTTCTGCCAAGCCTCTTGAGCAGAATTATTCTGTATATCAAGCTGAAAAACACATTGAATGGAATTAATCATTAGATATCCAGTGGCAGTGTACGTGACTAGATGGTGTTGAACAAGCTCATCTAAAAGTTAATACAGAGGGGAAAGTTTATTTATTTAAATTTTGTCTTCACGCTCCTCATGAGCAGAGGGACACATGCAAAATTTTCATGAATGGGTAGGTGAGACTTTATTCATAATCTTTGCCTATTCTAGTGCTATGTTGAACCACATCATCTAAAAGTTTGTAGTAAGAGAGGAACAATTTTATTTCTTTATTTAAACTTCGTCTTCAATAAATGGTTTCTTGACTAGTTCCTTTGCATTCAACATGTATCTTCTTTTCCTTCATTTATTCTTGGACTGTGTGTCTATTTGGCTGTCGAGAAGGAGAGAGTGAAGTGGTTAAAGGAACAGTATAGGGAGAGACAACATCTTGTGAAGAATTATGCCTGAGAAGATTGGTCAGATTCACAAGTTAAAGTCCTGTTAACCCTGATATAAATAGGATCTAAAACTACACAACATTATAAGTGATATTAGATCTGTGCATTGAACTTTACAAATGTCCTCAGTGAATTTATGTTAAAGAAATTGTTAATTCTAACCAGATATAATTAGGTTTCTTTTGATTTTACAACACTTGACTGAAAATCATACCGTTGTTTCAATAATGACTGCAACAAAATTCAGGACAAGGATGCACACTATTATGTATCCAAATTTCGGACTTCGGACAAAGTCTTTTAGCCTTTTAGATGCTGGTGAATGGTAAAATGGAAGGCTTTCAAAAACAGGTACCTGCAAAAAAAGCATGGTGTGTTGGAATGCAGATCAAAAGCCTTCATTTTTATTTAATACTATAAGAAGTTGCAAGGATGTCGTTAAATCCTCAGTTCAATGACAAGTGGACTTACTGAATCCTCCTTTTGAAACCTTAGTGCAATGGCATTGCAAAGGTCAGCAAATTCATCCAAATTAATCTGCAAGTAAATAACAATCGCCAAATAAATAAGACACCATTAGAAAAGAGAATCATCAGCTTCTTCCTATGAAAGATTTTATTTGTCAAAAAGAAACCAATATACTACACCAGAGTAAAGAACCATTTTCCATAATTATGTTTAAATATAGAAACCATATAATATTTACATTCAGAAGGTATTGAGGCATATATAAGCTAAAATCATATAATACAAAAGAAAGTTACAAAACTTGAATAGACAAATTCAAAACCAAACAACTTTGACTTAAAATAGTACTTTCAGGGCAGAGAATAAACTCTCAGCAACATAATCAACAAGGAATGCCTACCATAAAATGATTGACACTTACAAAAAGGTACAAAGAGCAAAGATGTGACTAAAGCAAATAGTTCACATTGTTCTTCGAAGTTCTTATGGTTGTAAGTTACAAGCTCGTAGTTTCATTAGATCCAAATAATGAAAATTCAGAACTATGCAATCAATGATGGCGATGAACATTTGAAATTCCCGTATCGTTGCAAAGCCAGTGGTTGGAAATGCATATTTTCCATGAAAATCTAAAATTTCAAGGTTGTAGTTTAAAGGGAAAGTTGTAGCATATGTCCCCAACCTAGGGTGTTGTAGCACGTTGGTCCCCAACCTTTCAATCTGTAGCACCCTAATCCCAGTGGACAGCATCCATCCATGTTACCATTAAAAAGTCAATTTCTTTTGTTAAAAATAAAATATTCCTTTATTCTCAACTAAAATATCAAAATAAATAAATATTAAAGAGCAATAAAAGGAAAAGAAAAGATGGGTGGGCAGTGTCGAACTTGACTATAAGCATGGTAGGTGATTGCCTAAGGCCCCGCTTTGGTGAGGCCCCAAATTATGTAAGGTTAACTATCTGGTTGAAGAAAAACGGAAATTATGAAATTCTTTAAAACAAAATTATTATATGCAAACACAAGAAACTAATAAAATTTGGAAATGCAAAATTTTTTTAAAAAATTTATATAAATGGCCTAAAACGTGATATTAGATGGCATGAAACTTATCACATACATTTATTTGTCGCATTAATATATCAAAGCCATTACTTTCTCTCTCTATAACTAATTTGACCATTTGTCTTCCAAACATCTCTTTAGTCTCTTCAAAATCCGCATTCGCTCACCAATCACCCACTATAATTTTTTTCAACCCAAAAAGAAATAAATTATCTCCCTTTGAATTAAAATGTTGAAGATTCAATATTTTCAATTTGGCGGATGGACCCAGTCTCACTGCCATTATTAACTAAAATTTATTTGTGTAATTTTATTCTTAAGGTGCTAGAAGCCTTCCGCCCTTCCCTGGAATCTGATTAAAAATATATTTGGTGCAAGAAAATTTTTTACTACTCAAATATATTTGGTGCAAGAAAATTTTTTACTACTCTTTTTCCATTTCATTTAATTGGTATTTCAGTGGAATAATGATAAAGAAAGTCGAAGGGAGAAAATAATTCATAAAAATAGTCCACAATCAATTTTTTATTTGGAGCATTATTTTTCTCATCATGTCTCATTTTATGACCTAGTGGCTATGCTAAGTATTTTATTTCTACATTTTTCTTGTCACTTTTGCACGGTGTCCGAGATAGATGTATTAAAATTTATATTTTATTGTTTACTTTTTTAATGATAATATTTTCTTAATATACTCTCATTATTATTATTTCGTAGTTAAAATATTTTCTATCTAGGTGAAATCTCTATTAGGTTTTATTGTTCCTCAACTAATTTAAAGTTTGATCTTGTATTGATTTTGTTTTGTGTATTGCTTTAATATGTCTACTAGAAAGTATTTGTCTGGACATGAAAAAACAAAGAAAAAAACTGAAGAGTTGATTCAATTTCAAGTAGGAGCTGTGAACAAGTTTCTTGATAGTAATATTAATAATAATAAAGAAAGTCCGATTAAAGACTTGGTTTATGAAGAGTATGAAAATGAGAAGGTTCAAAGTGAAGATAATATGAATAGAGAGCATCAAAATTTAGTCGATCACGAGCAAGAAAATCTGGAAGAAATTGAAAAATGTGTACCTTTGTATTTCGACATTATTGATCTAGGAAATTGGAAACGGTTGATCAAAACTTGATAGACTTGTTAGTGAAAAGAGGTTCCCTTAAGGAGGATGGTTTTACTTTTCGAAAGATTTAGAAAATAGACATTTCTCTTCTACATATTACATTCGGCATTTAGCAAATGGTGAGAAGAGTGATAGAAAATGGTTGTTCTACTCCATTTCATTTGCTTTTGTTGTAAGTTGTTCAAGCAAGAAGGAAACAATATTCAATTAGCTAATGAAGGAATCAACAACTGGAAAAATCTTAGTTTTAGGCTTAACAGCCATCAAACTAGTAATGGACACATGCATAACATGAGAAGATGGATTGAATTGGAAAGGAGATTACAATAGAATTTAACAATTGATAAAGTTGTGCAAGATCTAACCAACAAAGAGAGAAAACTGGAGAGAAGTGTTGGACTATTTAACAATGAGGACTGTCATTCTCCAAATATATGGATTGTTTATTGAATATTATTGACCATACCAGTTATAGTTGCACCTGTCGAGAGGAACTTCTCAAAGTTAAAATTGATAAAATCATATCTTCAAGCAACAATATAACAAGAAAGGCTGAATAGGTTGGCCATGGTATCTATTGAAAAAGAAGTTCTAAAAAAAATTGATTGTAATAGTGTAATTGTTGACTATCTATCAAAAAATTCTAGAAGAGCAAATTATTTTAGACATTTGAAAGTTTTAAATTATTATTTTTGTAACTTTGAATATATATATTAAATATTAATGGGGGCCCCCACATTTGAAGTTGATATTCCCAAAGTATCAGGATTGGCCCTGTGGGTGGGGGCTGGGCTGCAGGAGGGTTTACAGGGGAAAGGAATCGATAGGGAGACTGCTGCAAGGGGGTTTGCAAAGGTGAGGAGGTAGGTTGGAGAGCTGCAGGAACACGGGAAAACCTAAGGTGGGGAAACCTTGGTTGTTCTGGATTCTGTTATTTCCATATACGCCTTCTGCTTATTTATGTTATTAATCATTGTAACTCTTTCTTTTTTGTGCGACTAAGGCAAAGGGATGGTCTTGTATTCCATGGTTCAAGTACCTTTGGCCACAAAAAATCCACAATAAATAACTAAGAATACAAATACATATTCGTTTGGATCTACATGAATTCATTTGTACAGAAATCTAAAGAAGATGGCAAAGGAAACAAGTCTCAACAGCATCAATCAAAGACATAAAAGTATGAAGTAGCTACCTTGAAGTCGTGACTGTCATCCAACTCATGAAATATTAATTCAAAATCATCTCTGGATATCTTTGGTAATGTCCTAAATACATTGAAAACAAAATATGCTTCAACATCCATAAGATATATGCCAGAAAATAATACTGAATGACTAACGAAAATAAATTTATTTGTCTACCAGAGCAGAACAGAATTTCTACTTGTTTAACAAGCAGAATATTTGCTTAGGTTAGCCACTTATTGAAAGTACTGCCTTCTCCATCTAGACATTCCTCCTACCCAGGAAGGGAGTTTTGATATATTACAAATTAAGAAAGCTAATGTTGTTAGAACACCTATTATTTCTTGAAATCTGTTCGAAGATGTCTCTTAGAAACACAAATACATCTAATAGAGAAAAGAATCCGACAAACCGTTGTAATCACTATTATTATGCCCCTCTTCTAGCTTTACTCATTCTCAATGAGTTTTTTATTTTTTATACATAGCTGAATGAACTAGCCGTTGAGTTATAATCTTCTCATGAATCATGAATGCATGCATATTCCAACATTAGAGACATGTACAAATATGGGTAGAAATATTTATGTTTATCCTAATCAAGAAAGAAACTACAGGTTAAGTCGAAACAATATTCAGTCATTGCACGGGGGCATGGAAAAGAGAATTCCACCTGTATTTGTCCAGTTCTTCAAACAGATGAATGCACTGATCCTTGTTGAGATAATTAAGATTCTGTCACAAGTAAGTGTAAAACAAATGACAACATAAAATCAAATCAATGTTTAAAAACAGAAAAGAAACAGCTCTAGCAAGGTTTGAAGACAAGCCTGTACAATTACGGATGAAAATAATTTTCTTAGAGAAATGGACAAGGAACAAGCAATGGATTTGCTTTCCTACTTAGTCTCCATGTGAGAAATAAAAAAATATATACAGAATTTCGTGATTAAACTTTAGATTTAATGTTTATTTTAGCTTGACGAAAACTTGTCCTCTATTTTTGCAAAACTTCATTTCAACCAATAAATTCTTCAAAAAACTAAATTCCAAAAAGGGTCATTCGGTATGTCTCACTTAACACATCAAAGTATAGGTGCACAAAGAGTTTAACTTGTGCTTTCAAATGTATCAAAACTTAATTATCTAATAACTGCCTCCTTGAATAACTCGTTTGAACTATCCATGCATTATCAACCACTTAACCAACACCAATCATGAATTATCCATGTCTTAGAATTAGAGCCACCTACCTAGCTTCTCTAGTAGCAAATTCTTAAATCCTAATCATTAACAACGTATTTGTACACTCGAAATAAGGTTAAAATTGATCTCTTGAATAAGATGTTATTCGATAAATATTCTCTAAACACCCAAGATTTAGACTTGATGATATGGATCATGACTAGAAGGTTTTAAGTTCACCCTACCATATAAATACACATGCACATAATTATCCATGTCTTAGAATTGAGCCACCTACCTAGTTTCTCTAGTCTAAATGAAGAAACCAAGGTGCCCAGCAAAGAGAGTGCAGAGTGGTGAGTACATTTACAATAATGATTGAAACTGTTCTTTTCTTCAAATAAAATTCTCAAAGGTCAAGTTTTCATGTTGTCATCGATGTCCAGATATGCTGTGTGATAATTGTTTACATATGTTGAAGCAAAGACGAATTGTTCTTTCCATGTATACTATAATGATAGCATTCCATAAAAATTTATCCACTCGCTTACATGATTACCTGATCAAAATTCACTCATCTATAATAACTTGGAATTGTCATAACAGTACTTGACACATGGCTGGCTAGCCTGCTTTCAATTTGGGAGCAGAGGTCAGAAGTAATATTTCTTTTCCCATTCTGTACTACTTTTTTTCATTCGATATGAGGGGGGCTTACACATCCATTTACATGAGTTAGGACCAGCCCAGGTTAGCCCAAAATTCATATTACAACCTAATTCCATTAATCCACAAGATGAGCCTAGGAGAACCAACAGTTAACTTCTTGTCAATCAAAAGTTTTTTCAATTTCCAGATCCACAATGCTAAAACAAAGAATTCTCTTTATAATTATCCCAGATCCTCAGTTACTGAGACACTTCAAATTCAGTGGTATAACTATAACTTCCCAACAAGAGTATAAAGACACCACCCCGACCCCCCACTAAATTGTGATTCACCATAGATTCTAAATCTCGAAACCAAGCCAATTTTGCGGCTGCTTTACAATAATGAAACCAACCACTAGAATATCAAACCATGAACCAAGAAATGCATGAGAGAAAAGCCTATTGGCTAGTTATTATGAGGCCCAATTCTTGACTTAAGGTCACGCCAAAGACCTTTGCCCTTCCATCCCTTGGATGGATGAATAGGGAGTGCAAAGCTTTTAGTTTTTTCATGTTGTCAAAGAGTTGAACAAGTAAAATAAATGGCAAGTGCCAAATAAATTATATGAAGTCCTGTGAGAAAAATAGAAAGAATGGTATAAAGAAACCTAGTCGATTAATGGAAGGCAATATGTGTGAGCAATCTCCCTTATATCGATAGAGATAGTGAAAGAAGCCTCTGCATTTGTGTGTTTGGGTAGGAGATTGGGTTGGGGTTGTAGGGTAATGCAGTTGAAAGTGCATGGAGGCAACATATCCAATGGTTCACTAATAATATGAGTTACCAAAATTGGCCATAGCAGTTCTCAATGGCTCAAGTATAATCAGATATGCACAACGTCATCAGAATAAAGTGATAGAGAGGATGAGCATTTTTAAATAAATTATGTCTTCAACATGTTCCCCTAGGTGCAGGCCAGATTCATTTTTCATCAAACGCTTGATACGCACACCATTTTTATAAATGGATGGCGATGAGACAACTCGGAACTCTGTTTACTACGTTGAATTCATTTAAATTACATCTTCAACAAAAATTATGCTTCTTTTTCCTTCATTCGCTATAACCCCATTTGCAAATATGATCGTTACCAATCATAGAAATCATCCCATAAAAAAATCAACAAGATATTACGCTATAGTTTCAGATCCAATGGGGGAAAGCAGAAGTGCAGGAAGGAATCCACATGGAAAAATTAATTATCAAATTTACTAATCTATGGGAGGACTCGCAAGGGCAGATACAGATTAGAATTGGCGCTCACTATTATTATAACATATGAAGGTAAATAGCATGATTCTACCAATTTACAAAAATTCACCTCATTATTATGCTTTGGATTTGAAGAAAATCAATTGGTCAGCTTTTCCAAATTTTACAGGAATAGAAAACATAAAGTATACACAACAATCAGTCACATCACGAAGGTAAAAAAATATACTCACATAATTATCCATTAGGTTAAATGCTTTCTTCAGTATTCTCATCCTTGTACGATCCTTCTCATCGACTTGTTTTACAAGCTGTGACAAAAACTAGCATTAGATACGCATCAAGCTTTTAAAATGAGAACAAGCAGTCAGAAATTGACATCTAAACGGTGTATGGTGCATTTAGTAGGACATCAATGAATGCCAAAAGGGTAGACAGCAATTTAGTATAAGATCTCCAAATCTGAAGTAGGAGTTTGAAGCCCCATTCCTTCTAGGAGTGGCAAGAGATACATTTCATCTTATATTGGGCAATTAGAGAATATATGGGTTATACAGAAACAATGTTAGCATAAAAATATATTGCAAGGGATGCATCAAATACCTCACTTTTAAAGCTATCATATACAACGGCAAGAATCAAATTGGTGACAAAGTAAACTCCCAACAGCACATAGAGAACAAAAAATAGGCAATACCACCTTGAGGCCCTATGAAACAACATATCATGGAGGTGAGTAAAACTAGAGAAAATCAGTTATAAGCAACTAGTAGAACAATATGGAAATTGATAGCTATTGAAGTTGATAATAAATTCAAAAAGTTTAGCAATGTTGCTTGGACGTAAATCCAAACCTTCTCCTGTGTGTGTTGTACGACTACCTTGTTGCAGGGTAGGGTAGGGGGGGAGGAATGCAGCACAATAACCAGGCAATATTAGAAAGAGAGAAGAGGATGATTCTAAAAACCAATGTTTCAAAAGCTACTTACTTGTATGCAGGAATCCAGACATCTGGGTTATTGGAAGTCGTAAATAAAACAAACATTTGGTATAATGTGGTGCCATATGAAGTGAATATAGTCTTCCCCTGTTGCGTATCTTCAAAGATGACAAATGCCAACCAACTAGAGAATAGGAGAAATAAAGCCCATAGAGCCTGCATTAGGTTCCCAAACAAAGGGAAAAAGCACAATCAAATTTCATCCATGAAATTGAAGAGATAGAAAGATCATAATCGTGGCAGTACTTCAATTGTAAGTGTAATATAATTCTTTTGAAGATGAGTACTGGAACTATTAAGTGGACGCACCAGGATATTAAGGTACGTGCCGAGCATTCCAACAAGGATGACGATGCTATCTCGTAAATCCCTAGTGTCAATTTACAAAATTAAGAAGTAATTTAGTTAGCGGGGCTTAGTGAGTCACACGGAGGAATTAAATGATGCTACGTTGCGGTTGCACATTATTGACTTAGAGTATCCCTTTCAGGCTGAACGGTATTTCCTCTTCCTTTGTGTTCACTTATGTGAAAATCAACAAATTCCAACCTCTTCTTTCTCCAAGCAACATCCATCAACTGGGTGCCATTACTGATAATCAATTCTAATGAATGATTAGCTCATCATGGTCTTAAGTTTTCACCTATGTAGAGTCGAAAGGAGGAAATCAGTTTCATATATTGTAAATTTCGTAATTATTGGAATGTGTTGAACCCTTTGTGATTTGACCCTACAAAAAAAATATCTCAAGTGCATGATCCAAGGCAATGTCAAGTGGTTTTGCCTCAAGAATACTTCTAGTCCAAGTATACTCTGTCTTCATTTTAAGTCTTATTACTTGATTTCCTTGATGCATAAAAGGGAGTAGTAAATGATTTTCTTGAGCTCCTTACAACATCTTTTCTAGTTTGAAATAACTGCTCAAGCATAATCATGAATCTCCTCACTCTGTTCATCTATCACATACATAGCTATTTATTTCTTTTGAACTATATATATATTCAGTCCATAACCTTGCATCCAGCTGAACATGATTCCAATAAAAACATATGTTCGCCTTGTGTAGACTGCTTAATCAGTTGAAAAGCAGCATCAAAATTGGAAAACTCATTCTACCCGAATTGACAGGTAGGCAGGCAAACTTTTCCACCAATGATAATCCCAAACCTTAGTCCAAAAGCAAATGTAGCAACAATAGGATTTTAATGTTCAAGAGTGTGCCAGGTAGAAGACGGGACTTCATAATCCGGAATTGTTATTCCAAAACCAATGTATAAATCCTAATGGGACACATCGTCCAGGGAAAGAGAAAAAAGAAATCCAGAAAGCACAAACGAGAACATAATGCAGGAAAAAAAACTGTAATAGGATACCTATACCATACCTGATGTTCAGGATGAAAAATGCAACCCGTAAATAGGGTGCAATCCTAAATGGAAGAGTATAGAATGCCACCGGGGACAGATAGATAATATAGACTAATAGATCAGCAACCAATAGTAACAACAGAAGTACCTAAAAAAAATCAATAAAAGAACTGATTATTTATCAAGGTTCAAGATTTAAAATTTGTCATTTCTGTGGTTCCAAAAAGACAATTCAATTTGAAACCAAACTAGTCCAGCCAATAATTTCTCTTGTTTCAATTGTTGATTTGAAGCCATAATAAAATCATTTCAACGGTTCACATAACCAATCATAAGCACTAAAAAATATAATATAAGTTATATAAGTCCTTCCATGTATTGTAGATGACCATAATGTACCAAAAGGCTCCATTACAACTTCTCTTTTATTCTTCTCTTCATGTAATACAAGTTGATCAAGAAAAAACAGCAGGTATATAACATATTCGGAAAAGGTGGAGATTAAGAATGAAAATAAACACAAAACCATCCATTCTAGTTCTCAGTTTATACCATAGGCCTCTTAATTTAAGAAAGACATATTTTTCCATCACGATATGCAGCTTCATGCGCTCACATGCTTACGTCATAGGAAAGACTCGTGATTATCATCTAACATGTAACAAATACACTTTTTACTCAAGATATCTTTACTTTCTATAACTGTTTACTTAATACCAGTTGATTTTTAGGGTACAAGGAAAGGCTGCATAAACTATAGTTCTTTATCACTTAGTGCTTGATATGAAAATTTCTGTATTTTTTATATTTGGTTAGTCATATGATGTTCCTCTGTTTGCAAGAAAGTAGAAATTACGATCGTAAACTAAAAACAGAAGAAAATTGAGTTCTTAAGATAGGAATAGCACAAACAAAATCATTTGTAGCTGTAACATTTGACTGGGAAAAAAAAATAAAAGAAAAACTAATATTCTAAACGAGGTTAACATGGTTCAAATTGATAAGCCATGTGTCAGGCAAAAGCAATAAGTTCAACGAAAATTGGCATATTTAAGTACATCAATGCGAACAGATCAAAGTCAATACTCTAACTTAGGAGGCAGCATCCTTTCGATTTTTGTGCAGGAAACTACTTTATAACAATTATCAACATTTTGATTTATTTGAATGCTCACCAGAGTCTTGAGCTTAACAGGCGCTGATATGCTGAACAAAAAATCAAAACTTGCATGCTGTTAAAAATATTTTATGAGTTGAATGGATGCAAAAGCCAAACGTTAAAAATATATAGTTCTGCCCCCAAATGAAAGAATTCAGAAAAAGATAGAAATCATATGCGCAAAGCATGGAAGATATATTTCACAATTAACTTTCTTTATCGTGTACATGATCCTTAATAAGGTAAAACCTTTTGGATGAAACTTCTTGTAGCAAATTATTAAATCATAATTAAAATTGAATACCTTAACTTTGTTAAGAAGTTTTCTCCAGAAGAAACCAACCCCTTCATATAATATTGGAAATAGAGTATGTAAAATTAGGATCAAGAGTGTAACACCCTGCAAAAAGTAGTATGAAAAATGTTAAATCTACTGGAAATACAAGAATGATGGAACTCTTGTTATGTATGTATTTGCAAAAGTAGCAAGAAGTAAAACTTAAAACATTAAGAAGTGAAAGAAGTCTCAGATAAATAAACTATCCGGTAACTTCAGCCACTAGTAGATGTGCAGGTGGAATTGCATTTTAACATTTTGTCACATATACAACATTTCTATAATGCGGTAAACTATCTTGATTCATAGCAAAGTGTTGCACAATTCTTGAGCAGAAAGAAAACATAAATGGTCAAGGGTCGAAGAGGAGTCAACCCCGTGGTAAAAAAGATAAATAAATATATAATTTCTTCTTTTTTGAGAAGTGTAACTTAAGAAACGAGTAAAACCAGTTCCTGCTCAGGTGAACCAGTCAGATCCTTGATTATTTACGGGGTTTTAATTAATTTATTTTTTTCTTCTTTCCGGACAGGTTCCCCATTTTCCAGGTCGAACGACCAGCAAGTCCAGTTCTTATAACACTGGATTATACAACACCAGAAAATCTGCATGCCTTGTTGACTGCCATTAAATTCAATTTTGTGGCCTAATTATATTTTTCTTTTTAAGGACTTCTTTTTGCTCTTTTTCTTGCTCCTCCTTGATAGATAAGTTTGCACACAGCATCTGGCCAATTCAGCATTTTTTGCTAAATCCACGGTTTGTTAGTTATCAAAAATTAGTTTATATTTATTCATCACGAACCAAAAGCATCAATCATTGACCTAAAATAACTGAGATCCATGCAGGTTTTATAGCAGGCAAGCCTCCTATAATTGACTGTAGAGTTGTTAATGTAACAGAATACACGACCAATGTTCAAAAGGCATTCTAAATCTGGCAAGTTTTTACAGAGTTCTCACTTGTTTCATCCGATCTTCTCATCAAAAGCATATCTAAGGATGTGCAGTTGGTTCCACCGTCTTGCAGTCTTTGTTAATCATAATCTATTGCAAATTTTTACTTAGCTAATTTTGAACACAAGCACATCTAATCTTTATATCAACATCTCTAATGATGGTTCCTCATTTTGGCCTCAATTGTTTTAAATCCTTGCTAAGTTTATTGCATATTTTTAACTATATAAATCAAGATTTCCTTTTAAAGCACTTTGAGTGACACACGACGATATAGCTGATATTCATATTCAGTGTCTTCTATTTCTTGAACTTCCATATATTGTCTGTAACGTGTACTTGTGTTTTCTTCAATCTAATTCCAAATCCAAATTTGTTATGGTCAAAGATAGGCAACTATAGCAATCGCCAAAATTAAGATATTATTCATCCAAAATGTTGGGTTAACTATTACCAAGAGATACATTTACATCATTTATAATTCATTACCTATAGATAAAGAAGGCTTCAAAGTATCTTAATGATTATCTGTAGTTAGAATGGAAGCCGTCATTTGTACAACTCTCTTCCCTGCCTTTAGCGTTATTGTTCATAAATCATACGTACAAGGTAAAAACAATTTAAGCCAATCATAAAAGTATTGCTCCGAACTGTCTACATTACTTGTAAAACAATTGAATGAATTTTTTGACCTTACCTCATAAACAAGACTCTCAGTACCAGTCAAGTATGGCAGCTGCCCCAGAAAGTAGTAACCCCTATTATTGCAATACCCAGAACACCATAGAGGTTTCTGAGGAAATAAACCAAACATAGATAAGTCATATAATAATTATTTAATGCCAAACAAAAAAGAGAAAAATAGATATACTAGGAGTTAGGAAGATGCACAAACCTCAAAGAAATTTAAAACAATTAATGCAAAGTAGTTAAGAGACCAGAGAAAGTCAAATCGAATAAATATGAAGTAGGACTTCAAAGAACTCTCAAAGCTCGAGTTATCAAGAATTTCCTCAGGAATACCAATGCCATCTTCAGCCTGCAAATGTAAGAGATATGTCAAATCATTATAAAGGGGGGGGAAAGCAGAGATTGTTATAAGCATTCCAGAAATTTTCAGGAAAATGTTTCTTTCCAAGGTACTGGACTGTTGACATACTCATCCTATAATATGCATGAAGTTGTCCTCTAATTTCCTTGATATTCCAGTGTTGGAATTATGTCCCAGAAAATCTAATTTGCATTGGCACAAACCAGCTGATCCAGAAATGCTTGAGCTTCCAAGTAACAGTTACCACCAATCTGATATGAGTCAAGGTGTTATGAAGGCAAGGTCTTATCAACCCCTTCCCCCACCCCACCAATACATACTATTCTCGTAGCGTCCAGTCTATGGACAATCCACACCCAGAGTTTAGACAAGTGATAGCACCACAGAGGTGACTTCGATACCAAATGAAATGAGTTCAGTCGATCATAAAAGGGGTCAGGAACTGTCGAAGTCTGCGATGCAGTCACTACACCAAGTCCACCCCAATAATTCCCATAACCCCACTAAAAAATGCAGAATAGAGTGTTATCATGTTTATTTGTGGGACACCAATATAAGAAAGGTACCCATCTTTCGGGGGCAGTAAAACTTCCTTAACTTGAATCCATAACACTTTCGCTATTTACAAAGCCAGGTGGTGAATTGAATTGATAAAAGAAATATATTCACAGAAAGTTCGAAATATTCACTAGTTCTACACTTAGAGAAAGTCGTGCTCTAATGCCAGTTGCCAAGAACCAAAATCCTTCCATCGCAGACTGTCTTTTCCTTCAGAAAAATTCTAGATACCAAGTAACTAATCCACCAAAAACATACTCACTTAAGGTGCCCAGGTCCCTACAATTGTGAAAAATACAACTTGCAGAAACCATCACCCCATCGTAATTCAAAGAAATTTCATATCTTAAGCAAATTTCCATGATCCTTTCTTAATAGACTTTCCAAGAATTCAGTTAAGTCGAAATCACCATTTTCAATGCCAATTGCGTTTAAAATAGACGCTTTAACAGAATATATTGTAGCTACATCTACTTTAACATCATATTCTTCAATGTACAGACATACCCACATTGAATTACCAGCTAAACTATCCTACAGCATTTTTATTCAATATTATGAAAGTTAATATTAAAAAAAAAAAACATACGAGATCAACCAAAGCAGCGGCCTTTTGGTATGTTGATCCATAAGCAATGGCATCTTTTCTGTTAAACTGATGCCTACGATCCCTTCTTTGGCCGCCACTGCCGCCTTCTCCGCCACCCAACAAAGCCGTCTCCATTTTTGCTCTTGATCTCTAGAGAATCAAAGATGCGATTGATTTGAATGTGGTCATTAATGAGAAAAGGAAATGGTGGTTCGTTATGGATGAATTTGAGGTAATGTCAAATTGTCAGTGTCTGAGTATTCAATGAGGTCCGTGTGGCAGTTTTTGCATGGTTGGGGGGGCTTTCTTTGATGTCCATGTTTTACCAATCAGATCTAACGATAGCCATTGTTTAATCCCATTATTTTCAATATATGTTTTTCTCCCTTCTTCTCAATCATATATTTTTCAATAAAATAATATTATATGCAAACTCAAAAAATTTAAAACTAACTATAGCCTTTGTCAGGTCAACGCGTGACCTAGGGCAGCATCAACGATCGATTGAGTAACCATCTAATATGATTAATGTTATTTATCATTTTGATGACTGAAATCGATGATGTGATAGTTTATGTAGAATAATGAGATTGCGCAGTTCGATTTTCATGAGAAAGAGAAATGTGTGAAGCAACGGATTACCCATCACGATGATAAATTGCATTACTCGTCCAACATATTCTTCCCTTTGTTTTTTGATAACCGTAGATATTCGGGCCAACTTGCGCGCACCTCGACTAATTTTACGGGGCTCTAAAGTTTACTGCCTGGTACTCACCTCAATGGCCCTGAGGGGACTCGAACTAGTGACCATTGAGGAGCAAACTCAAAGCCTAACCAATTGAACAACCTCTCGGAGTTATATTCGTCCCTTACGAGAGGAATATTTATGGATTTGGGGAAGGGTCCCCAAATATCAGCTCATTAAATTATAAGTTCGAAGAATTTGAAGAATCAATACGACGAATTAGTCCAATTCAACAAGTCGAGCAAGTTGGCTTTACTTATTTAATCCCATTATTTTCAATATATATTTTTCTCCCTTCTTTTCAATCATATATTTTTTAATAAAATAATATTATATGCAAACTAAAAAAATTTAGAACTAACTATAGCCTTTATCAGGTCAACGCATGACCTAGGGCAGCATCAACGATCGATTGAGTAACCATCTAATATGATTAATGTTATTTATCATTATGATGACTGATATCGATGATGTGATAGTTTATGTAGAATAATGAGATTGGGCAGTTCAATTTTCATGAGAAAGAGAAATGTGAGAAGCAACGGATTACCCATCACGATGATAAATTGCATTACTCGTCCAACATATTATTCCCTTTGTTTTTTTATAACCGTAGATATTCGGGCCAACTTGCGCGCACCTCGATTAATTTCACGGGGCTCTAAAGTTTACTGCCTGGTACTCACCTCAGTGGTCCTGAGAGGACTCGAACTGGTGACCATTGAGGAGCAAACTCAAGGCCTAACCAATTGAACAACCTCTCGTAGTTATATTCGTCCCTTACGAGAGGAATATTTATGGATTTGGGGAAGGGTCCCCAAATATCAGCTCATTAAATTATAAGTTAGAAGAATTTGAAGAATCAATACGACGAATTAGTCCAATTCAACAAGTCGAGCAAGTTGGCTTTACTTTTAAATTTTTCTTTTAATTTTAATTTTACACTCGACAGTTTGCAGATCTTGAAGGTATCTAATGCAGTTAAATAATTGACTTTTTTCAATATTTTTAATTACAATTGTGAAAGTCAATGAATTTCTAAAATCATTTAATCCTACGTGCAAGGATGTGCTAATTGAAAAGAATTCGTCGATTCGACATCTGAGATTTTAAAGCCACTAATTGCGAAAAACTCAAAGCATGTCTGTTTGATGTATTTCTTTCACAATACTTGAGAATGTCAAATGGAGCGATTTAAACTAACATTTTTTTAGTGCAGCCCGCTCGCAAGGTGGAAAAAAAATTAAGTCTTCGATAAAATTTAAAAAATAAAAATAGTGCGACGGAGCGATCGCTGCGATCCCCTACTTGATTCTCGAATTTTTTTTTTAAAAGGTCCAATATTATTGTGGAAGAAATTATGTTTTTTCTTAAATATTTGGAATGACCCCGCACTCCTTTGTTCTCGTTGACTAAATCCAACTTGGGTTTGATTTTGATTCAAATAAAAAATATTTTTTTGGTATGATAATAAAGAATTTGTGATTGACGGTCACTAAACAAAGCTTGTTTGTGAGGGATTAAAATCAGATTAAAATTGAAAATATAGTTGTTGGAGTTGACTTTTATTAGACGAGTGGGACCCAATAACGGCTATATTTTCAATTTTAATTGGATTTTAATTATTCCCAAACAAGCCCTTAGTCTACATGTTAATGATTTATTTAAGTGGAAATTACACGTCATCAGAATTTTAAACTTCTAATTTCAAAATTCAAATCTACAAGTTTTTATTTAAAAAATCAAATAATAATTAAAATATTAAAATATTAATAATTATATTACAAATTTAAATATACATATTCATTCTACCCAACCATACACACCAAAACCCTAATTATTTCATCATCTCCATTTTCTCTCTATCCCACCTTCTCTCTAGTCATCCGCCGCTAGGGTTGGACAAAACTCTCAAATCGAACTGAACTGAACTGAGCGGTTCTTTTTAAGTTAAATGCCTGAATTGGTATTTGAACGGAGGATTGAACTTAACTGAACAGACCAAGAATCAAATAAGAACCGAATATCCCTAATATTTTTTTTAATCTTAAATAAGTCAAATTATTATTTTTAAATAAATTTGCTAAATAATTAATTTAACCCAATCCCAAAATATGATTTTCCTATTTCTAATTTTCAGCCCAAGACCAATTAATTAAATTGACATATATTTTACCCAAATATCTTATTCTATCATCGTTTCTATATAGAGAAATAGAATTGGAAGCCTCTCTGTATTATTGTGAGTTCGCCATCTCTTCTTCCTGTGATTTTAATTGTCATATCTATGGAAAACTCAACAAAGAGAGGCGCAAAAGATATCACGAGATTGAACTACGTTATTTTATAAAAACTAAAATTAAACATGTCATTAGTTGAATTAATATGGCGTTGTTGTATATATCAAAAAATTTAATTATTGTAAGGAACTCGAGAACCGAAGCTAACTTGAACGGTTCCATAACGGTTCCATTTACTAAATACTCGAAAATTTCGATTCAGTTCGGGAGAACCAAACTGAACCGAATCGGACCATATTCAGCCATATCCGTCGCCGCCGCCACCCCGCCGATATCACTACCACTGGCACCACCCTTCACGCGGCTCGGAGTGGAACCTCTATGGAGGTGTTGTCGCTGCTCTCCCTCCTCTCCTTCTCCATTTTCTGTTTATCACGACACAACCCCAAACCAACATCGTGCGAAGCAGCCTGTGATTGTTGCTTAGTCACTTCAATGTGGTTTCTTCTGTGGTGATTTTGCAGTGTTGTGCGGTGATTTTGTAGTGATTTTTTGACATGGTTTGTTGTGATTTTTGAGGTGTTGGTGGTATAGGCTGTGATAGTGTGTTGTGGTGGTGGTTGGGTATGGTGTGGTGTGGTGTAAATGGAGACAGATGAGATGGTGGTGTGCGATGGCGATATGTTGTGTGTGTGGTGATAGATCGCACCTCTAGAGGCCCAGAAGGAGGTGGTGGTGGTGGTTCTAGCGATGGTGATTTCGGCTGTTAGCAATGAGGTGGTGGTCACAAGTGTCAGCAATTGTTACAAATGATTAAGATGATTGTTACAAATAAATTGGTTAGTGTGTGACCAATAAACAATATATGATTAATGAAATAGATAAATTGTGATCAATAAATACTGTGTTATCTAAAAATTTGTTAATTTGATAAGAGTGTGTTTGGTAGAAATTAAAATCGGATTAAAATTGAAAAACTAGTCGTTATGTTAACTTTTATTAGACGGGTGGGATCCAATAACGGTTATATTTTTAATTTTAATTGGATTTTTAGTGTTACCAAACAAGCCCTAAATTGTGACCTAAATATAATTTTTGGTCAATTAATTTGATGTTTTGTGACTATGAAATAAGTTGTGACTTATAAAATTTGTGATTTGTGACCAATAAATAATGTGTGACTATTAATTTGATAAATTTGTGATTGTAAAATAATTTTTGATCTATAAAATTTTTAATTATGATCAAGAATTTATTTGTAATCAATTAATTTGATAATTTGTGATCAAATTGTGACTTTATATTTAATTTATAAAATATATATTTAAGTAATTATTTTAGAAATGAAATTTAATAAATATTTGATTTTTGAAATTTAAATATTTTATCTTAATTTTGAAATGAGTTATACTTAAACTCTTATTTATGAATTTTTCCATTTATTTAAAACTGCCGACGTGATCCATTCTAGTTGGTACTACAATGGTCCCATTTTTTATTCTGATAGATACACAATTTGACTTGAGCAACTCCAATAATGATTGCATAAGAAAAAAAAATTAATACAAAAAAAAATATTTTTTATTATCATACAAAAAAAAAAAAATTGGAAATTCTAGTCTCACCCCTCGTACTGATTTTTATAAATATATATACTGATTTCCTTAGAAATTCTAGTCTCGCCCCTCAAATTTCACAGGTGAGGAGATGATTGAGTTCAAAAACCCTTCATACAATTATTATATCGATGATAAATTTATTTATTTACTTGAAGTTTTTCTTTGACATGTTATTCCATTAGTAAACTATCTTCTAACATGAAGAATGTTTATAAAAATCAGTACGAGGGGTGAGACTAGAATTTTCAAATAATTTTTTTTGATTTAGTAGCATTTTTATTCAATTTTTTTATGTTCTTGAAGAAAATCGAAGTAGTATTATCATAACATTAAAAATACCCAGCTTAGAGTTTAGATTTCTATTTAGTACTTATGTTCATTTTTCTAATCAAGAATTAATATTCACAAGATTATTTTTGACTTACATGCATTGAACATACGGCTAGTGTTCATTATTAGCCAAATAAAAATGAAATCACCATGTACAAAAGATTAAAATAAAACTTCTTTTAATCTATAGCATTTTAT